TGCGCTCTTTCACTAAATGACTTAGGTCTCACGGTCTCATACGTCCGCCGAGAAATGATTGAGTCTCTTGCGGGCTGAAGGTGAACACCAGTGTGGGGAAATATGCACATGGTCAACTACATGTGTAGGTGACATTTGTGGAAATTGTGATGGAAATAGAGTTTTCTGTTTACTTCTACCCGAATTTGTAAGTAAACTTATCATAACCAGTAAGGAAGCTCCTAGACTCAGCTGAGGTAAGCGAACATATACTCCTCCAACACGGTTGAACACACACGCGCTCTCACTCGAGCTGACTGATTGTTTCTCATCATCACGGCATGGCTTTGAATTTGGAAACGGACAACCTTAGTGTAGTGACCGAAATATTCTCGAGGGCGATAGCGTTAAACGCGAGTTGACAATTTCCATCATATTCGTTGCAATGGAGTTTTACCCGTGATATGAAAAAAACTAGTGATAAAGCATATTTAACAATTGTGTTATCGAAGACATATACGCCTTGAATTTACATGGAGTATTACGCCACTTCACGTTAAACGGATGATGCACCCTTCATGAAGTTTGCTGGTACTTCAAAATTGGAGTTAGCAAAGCATCGTGAGGTTGCGGTCTTCGTCCAGTTCGGTTCTGGTCTGGGCCAGGCTACGCAACACCAGCGTTTAAGGTCATTTCAGCGAGAGATGGTATGACTTAAAGTGATTATTCACAGGCGGTATATTCTCACTGAGCTTCTAAAGCAGAATACGGTCTTATGCCTTGACTGAGGTGGAGGTTGTGACTATTTATGCCGGCGTTCGAGGCTATCTCAACAATATCGCACAGCGCATAGTCGAGTATGATAATGGTGAGGAAATTTGTACCCGAATTCGTGTTTTTACTGGTAGTGAGGAGACTACACTTTCCTCGACTACAGTAGTATCTTTTCAACTTCTCTGCTGCGATTGCTACATTTTTTGATATTAATGAGAAAATGCTGGGGTCAGCTGAGGGAAGTGAACATATATTCATCCTGGAATCCATAATGTTCTCGAGGAGAATTCATTTTGAATCTTTCAAATGGCTAGGAAAACATTCTTCAACAATCAGTTTCCCATGTGAATGTAGTCATCACATTAGGAACTTTTTTATTGGGGTTCCACCCTAGTGATATGAAAAACATATTTCACGACTACTACAGGCCTCGAATATCGCGTTTTTCACCACTTCACGTAAAACGGGTGGAATTCCATGGTTATCAAACTCTGGGAAACGTTATCTTGCGAAGATAGATGAGTTCCTGCCTCCACCGCCGATAATTTATGGCAGGTTTGAGACCATGTGGTTGGAGGACATATCGGATCAGAACCATCCTGATGTTTTGAAAGCGATCACAGCGGAACACATTTCATATCGGACACGACCGAAGAGAATCTAAAGAACGCTATGGAGGAGTTCTTCACTATCAACGACTTTGAGGCGCAGGCTGCTCACTGAAGAGGGGAATTTCGTGGCGCGTGACGGACCGTCATTGACGGCGGAGACGATGATGACCTTGTCCCCTTTTTCTCCAGGATTGTATGCCGCAATACTAATAATAAGGCTTCGGTATGAAATCCCCGATGGAGATTTCCCAGCAGTTGAGTTTGACTCTGTCATCATCCACTGATATATGGGAATTCACTCTCAACGGCTTCGGGGTGTGCGTCTGCAGCTGCTCGATTTCAAGACTGATGCTGTGCAAATTGGAAAACTGTCAATTTTGGGTGCCGACAAATGTGGGAGTAAAAAGTGTGAGTACTGCCCGACCGTGCTGAGTGTTGGAGCTCCACGGTGGTAGGGCAGTCGATGCTCTCAACACTGCGTCGAGAGGCTGCTGAAGATCAACGGGTTGTCGTCACGTTTGAACAGAGCGCTCGGACGAAGACAATAGCGGGCTTTCTATGGTAAATAACCCGCACAGGTTCGATCCCGGGCGGGAGTATTATTAGGTTCTCGTTGAACTCTTCTACAGAGGCTATAATTAGAGACACGTGGGTATCCCCTCGAAAACGACGACAAGGAGTTGCGTCTGATATGGTATGCTGATTGACCCTTCGTATTCATCTACTCTGTTTTATCGGCTCCAGGTTGTCCATTTGGTAGTCTTCCTAGTGGGCTCTCCTGCACTACTTCGACGGAGACGACGTAGCTGTGCGGGGACTGTGGCAAAGGCGCCGCCAACTTGGGAGAAGCTGTCGTTGGAGAAATTAGTAGCCTACCCACTGCAGGGCTCGTCGACCTTTTGGGCTTCTCTTGGTTTCACGCGGGATCCGACACTGCCGGGTTGCCTTAAGCTGGATCGGGAGGATTTGGTGAGCTAGTCAGAAGGCACCGAAAGGAGCACTACTGGTGGTTCAGATACGATTGATACAAACTCGAGCCTGAGGCCTGATATGTCGCGCGCCACGAAATTGACGAAGTTGCTGATGGCTTTGATATACCAAGATGGAGGATTCATGTATATTTACGAGCAGATATCATCACCTGACTTTATTGCTCGTTGTTGGAGAGTTTAGTTTGGAACGACGGATTGTATTTATGATATCAGTTTCTGAAAGTCTATTGTAACCGACAAAAATCTCACCACATGAGGACAGTGGATACACCAACGACTACTGCATCGACAACGGAGGGATCACCACCAACACCAACGGTGAAGTCCTCCCGAGGAGTTAAACGGAAATCGATAGTTAGCAACAAGAGCGCTAGTGAGAGAAGCACTCACGAGCCTGTGAGTGGAATCCCCGAGGTAAGGAGGAGGAACATGTTCTTCCTTATAGTAGTCTGTTGATTCACGACGAGCCGATTCCAACATAAAACTCGTCGATTTTGAAGCGCCAGCTTCCTCACCTGTGGAGTCCAATGCTCACTAACTCTCCCGACTGGTATAACATCCGCGTTCAGATGCTTGGCGTGGTTCGCTTGCGGTCACTGCATTCAAGGGTGTTGTCGTGGCATGTAGACAGTGGTCTTCTGGGTTCAGTACGGCTCAACTCAGATGAAGGTTCTCGGAAATGTAAGCAGATGTCTATGAGGCTCCTTGCTCTTGAGGGTGCGCACGGGCAGGGCGTAGAATGCTAACTATGATGCGCCGCGATGCGGGGTCTCGATCTGACCCGGATCATCGTGTTGTTGTCATTTTCGATGCAAACGTGACGACATCTACCGCAACACGAGTATCAGGCTTCATGTGGTAGGGCGTTGTTGTTGTTGTTGTTGTTGCTACTGTGGAGATATAGTTATGACAGGTTTAGTAGTAATTCTCCGTGTGAGATCATCATCCGTGACACGTGGGTTGACCCACAGCGACGGCGCCTCGGTATTGGCTCGCGGATGGTTGGTGGTATCTTATCGGTGTGTTGGTAAGATTCATTTTAGGTCCGGATATTTGCCATGAATATGATATCGTCTTCGATGGGCGATCATAGTAGCGATTCTAGCATTAGCAGTACGTCAACGCGAGCTTCATCGAGTGGAGATGATTTTGGAGAATACCTCCCTACTGTCGATTTTCATCCAAATAACTTTAGGGTTTTAGCTCTCCCTGCACCGGCCTCCACCACATTCTGGGAGAGCAATTTTTTCTCGGGTGAGGGTCAGTCAGGGGGGTTCCTCCAGCTCACGTGGGAGGCAATGGTAGGCTTGTATTGCTGAAACATTGTGTACTCGTGAATGCAGATGAGGTTAGCTCAACGTGGTATGGATTCGCCGGTCTTAAATCCTAGTCGTAAAGCGGCCAGGATAACCCCTGCCAGAGCATCGAAATGACGTTATAGTGATGAAGGACCAGTTGACCTGATAGTAGGAAGTTCCTAATAGGAACTCCTTACGTTTTGAGGGGTCGGCTGCTGTCGAGGGGTTGATTGTGTGTGTTGGATGATTTCTATTGTTATCATCCTAACGTAGTATTTGATTCGTCCGAAAGATCTGTCCCCTCGTTGTTATTGTTGATGTTCTAGCATAAGTAGCTCATCTTATTACTCGACGGTAGCTGCTCTTCCACGATGGTGGGCGTCGATGATAGACAGTTGTAGTATACTGTATTCTTTGCTATACTCGGTGACGGCTGTGGTGGAGTCCGCTAGGTTGGGTTGAGTCTGCAGTAGTAGTGCACTATCCTACTGCCTTCACGGCTGCCTTGACACTAATATTACGCGGATATTTGCGGATAAGTTTCGAGTTAGTGAGTAGGACGACGGGTCAATTGGAGCAAGTGAAGTACACCAGGGGCCAACTAAAGTGTCCACCCTCCCAAGTCCAACTGGACAGAGTGTCCTCAAAGAGCATCCATGAGCCGGGGGATATCTCTATGAACTTGAATGCATGTATCGGGTCCTATTTCCAACCCGAACGCATGTAGCTCCACACGAGTGTGGAATAAGGTGAGTGATCCTCATGGTCTGGACTCCAGACTCTGGAGGATGGCCATCTTTTCACCAGTCGCACGAGTCATTTCACCAGTTGAAGTGCAACCCATTTTATCGATGCGCACTTGTAACTCCAAAAATAACGAAAATATTGCACGGAAACGACGATTTAGCAGCATGGTAATACTTCGCTCGCTCCGCAACTCACAGACCGCGCACACTCTCCTAACAGTATGTAGCTCATGACCTTACTCCTTATCGTTATCCTCTGATGATGGTTCAAGTCGTCGAAGGCCTCAGCGTAAGACTTCGCCAAGGAGCGCAGTCTTTCCCCGGATTTTTTCCACGTTGGGATGGAATTTCTCTAGGACCTTTGGTGGAGACTCCCCACGGAATGATATCATTCTGTGCTTCGCTCAATATCGAAGTCGATCGTGTCTCGAAGGCTCCCAATAAACGGAGACAAATCCTTTAAAAGGTCACACGGAGGTCTGATATCATCATATATCTATATATCGCCAGAATCACTGAAGTCCAGTTCACTCAAATTAGTCACTGAAGTCCGATGCATTCGAACCAGTCTCCGATTATACAAGACTATCTTTGTAACCGTTCACACAGCCAAGACGATAAAACCTCAATATTCCAATGAGAGAAATGACGCGATGAAGTAGAGAGTACATTTTCAATTGCAATATGAAACTGAATCCCCCTCGATGATGTTAATGCTACACCCTCTGAAGGCTTGACTCAGCATCAGCGAGCTCGACTTCCTCAGAGGGGCAGCTATGCCATTCCAATGCTTACCTCGGTTCAGTCGATTTTCAAGAAGCATGAGTTCGAGACCAATGTCCTAACCGAAGTAGCTCCGGTAATTCAACGAGGTGTATTATATTACTGCCCAAAACTCTGGCTTGTATTGAACACCGGTACTCGAATGGCATACCTGCCCCAAGCTAATGATCCCCACAATTCGTCGAATCTGAGGTTACTTGGTCGTACAGACGAAATTGATCTTCCTATCACGTGCTCCTGCGGAACTGACTATAGGGTATGTCTTGGGAT